CCATGTACAGGAGGCAGCGAACGTGGGGACCAATGGGAGTGGGAGAACTACCGCTGGGCCGGCTCTCTCCATGCACTTGCCACGCCTTGTGCTGGCCGTGCCTCCCACCCTCCCGGGCCAATAATGATCTTCACGAGAGTTTATTTTTGGGGTAGGGCTTATATTAGGCACATGCTTACAAAAATCAGGCTAGGACTTATTTCCGGATAGGTCTTATTTTCAGGGAAACACGGTAGATACTTCGAAAACAGTGTATTGTCTGGGTTTATTTCGTTTTACAAATAACAAATCATCACCATCTCCTTTTAATGACCCCATAATCCCTTGCCGGGTGAAGTCTGGGCAACTGAATGGAGCCAAATGTTGACTGACCAGATGCCTTTCCTGTCGCCAATGTGGAGTTATATGCAGCCGATATATTCTCATTGTGCCCAGAGAGAGAAATATCTGCCTCTAACGAGGATCGAACTTACAGCCTCCTGATTGTGAGGCGAGAGCTCCACCTCCAGGCTACTGCGCTACTCACAGAGAAATAACAAATGTCCTGATAATAATAGTAATAATAAAAATTGTAATTATCATTATGATAATTATGTTATCTTATTTATTGTCATAGTCATAATAACTCATCTTTAACATGGTAATAATCTTTCTTCTTCTAATTTCCACCTAAAACATATCCCACGTTGAGCAATATTCTGTATCTGCTTTATATTTTATTTTTAATGTCGCTCTATCCATCTCTGCACAGTCTAATATTTTCTGAATAATATTTTCATCCGGGGGGTGGGCGGTGTCCTCATTTTCCCAGTGCTGTGCAAATACAATTCTCGTTGCTGTTAACACATGAAATATTAAATATGCAGTGCCTTGGTTGTAACTTTCTAGTATTATACTTAACAAAAACTATTTCTGGCTTTACGGTGCTTAATTATCGTTTTCTAACCACATATGCCTTTTCATCCAGATGATTATTATTATTTTCTTGCCTTCGCACATGTCCACCACATATGACAATAAGTACCTGGAGTCTGATTACATTTCCAACGTTTGGCAGGCGTATTTTTAGAACAAAGTTTGAACATTTTTTGAAAGAGTGACTCCTGGCCTGGGGCTCGACAAAAGGGGCTTTAGATGTGCTTTTTAAGAAAGCGGCTGCAGCAGCATCCAAAAAAGGATTGCTGGATCAGAATGGCTCCCTCCCTGCTAGCATCTCGGAAAAACGTTTCCGGGTTCCAGTCTGTTTTATTTCTTAAATTCAAAACCATTTGCGGGTCTGGCTGGAACAGCCCATTCTGTGCAATGGGCTCAGATTCCATCCGTATTCAAGACAGACGTTTCTAACAGCTGGAAAGGATCGGCGTAGCCTTATTCTTGTCTCACCTGCGCTAAGCGGACAGTCTTTAATTTGGAACTGGGCCTCGTTCTCGTTGGGAATGTCTTTCCACGTGGCCAGGAATATCTGCCGTTCTAGCCGGAAAAAAAAAAAAAGGAAGTTGAAAACAAGAATTTAGAAGTGGCAAGTCAGGCTCGACTGCTCTCACATGTATCGGTGCCCCCCTCCCAAAACAAAAAACATAAAACCCAACAAGGATATACAGGTAGTTCTTGATTTACGATCATTCGCTTAGCGAAGGTTCAAAGTGGCAAGGGCACTGGAATAAAGTGACTTATGACCGGTCCTTGCAGTTTACGACCAGTTTACGGTGTCCCTGTAGGAGATGACCAGGCTAAGCCCAAGGGAGGGAGGCGTCAAGCACGTCAGCAGCCCTGAGTCCTCGTGAGCCCACAAGAGATCTAAGTTTCTTGCCTTCTTTCGACTCTTGCCTTCCGCTAATTTCCCTTGGCTGTTAGTAGTTCAGATTCTTGTGCAGATCTTAAGAGCTGACAATAAACCTTTTTTTCCCATTTGATCCGCCGGGATCTCCTGGCGCTTGAGGGTCAACTTACAACCATTCATTTAGTGACTATTCAAAGTTACAACTTAGGACTGTTTTTCCACACTTGTGACTGTTGTAGCATTGTTGTGGTCATGTGATCAAAATTCGGATGCTTGGCAAACTGGCTTATATTTATGATGGTTTGCAGGCTCACCTGATCCCGTTTTGTGACCTTCTGACACACAAAGTCGAGGGGGAAAGCTGGATTCACTTAAGGACTGTCTGACTCACTTAACAACTGCAGCGATTCACTTAACGAATGTGGCAAGGAAAACAGGGCAAAATTCACTTAACCAATTTCTCACTTCGTGACATCAATTCTGGGCTCAATTGTGGTCGTAAGTCAAGGACTACCTGTAATTTGGAGAATTTTCCACCCACCGAGCCTTCGGCTTACCCATTTTCCCGTCTTCCACGAAGAGAATGTACAGAGGATACAGGGTGCTGAAGTAGAAGACATCAATATTATTTTTCACAGCCACCTGAAAACAAAAAGACAGAAAACATTTCAAGCCCATTGAGAAATGGCCCAA